TCTTCTTTGGAACCCCCCCCCCCCCCCATCCTCCACTCAACCCTCACCTCTCATAATAATTGTCTAAATTATATATAAATAATTTGATACGATTTTTTGCATACATATCAAACACAAAAAAATAAAAATAAAAATAAGATACCCACTTATTTTTATAGAAAATATTTTCAATAAAATATTTTTCTTCACACCAAACATATTTGTAATGCATAAATTACAAGCTCATCTGAATCGAGTAACTTTGGCCAATTTTAATCTCCTTATTGTATTCGAGGTTATGAATAAAGAGATATACAAGTTATTAGCGGTACCTTCGTCAAACACAAAAATTGACAACACAATCACACAGACTCTATATTTATTTGTAAAAAATAACAAAAGAAGTAAATTCAATGCAAAAAACGAAGGGTAATAAACCCTCATTATTTAATTATAGCCTAAAATCTGGGTTCAAAAGGTGTAAACTCACTTGTTCAGAATAGTTCGGTGCCTGGTGTCTATCGGAAGGAAGTATATGTTCAAAGATCGATCGATCAATGAATCAATCAATCACATCATTTGCTAAAATCGAGCAAGCGACGACAACGACGATGCAAGAAAAACGCTTCTTAACTCTTTAAGCGTTAGAAGAGGTGTTTCTATATATATAAGCACAAAAGTTCTCCTCTTCATTACGAATGAGGAAAAAAGTTTCTATATATCAAAATAAACTTTAGCTTCAAATTTCCCTCCCTTTATTTTCCATTCACGTTACACCTTATCTTTAAAACTTAATTTTTAAAGACTCAAAACCTAAAAAAAAAATAGTCCACTACTAAAAATTTCAATTGGCATTAATTTTGAGAACTTATTCCAAAATTTGCACTACCATGTAGTATAGATACTCTTCACATATTAGAAAGGAGTCAAAAATACTGTACTCTTCATGATATATTACATTCTTGCTCCATTTGCTTAAAGTTGGGAAAGGGAAATAAAATTCTCCACTCTTTGACAAGTTGCTCTCATACTATACTGTCAAAGTAAATTGCTTTTTCCACCAACGTAGCAAAAGTAAACAAGGGGAATTTCAAAAAATTATCATATGTGCAAAAGAATCTAAGATTCCAATTAAAGATATTGATGGAAATTTTAAAAAAAATAAAACCGAAGTCTTAATGCTATTAGAAATATAGGATTTTCTCACCGTGAATCAATGGAAAAATTTTGTAATAAAACATGATATCCATTCCCATTGAATCAGTTTACTAAAAAAAAATGCACGATGGAAAATAGATTCCCACTAATAGGGGTGTACATTACCGGGTTGGTTCGGGTTTTTCAAATATCAAACCAAATCATTTGTGTAAAAAAAAAATTAATTTATAAACCAAACCAAACTAATAAAATTCAGATTTTTACGGGTTTTTCAACCTCAGGTTGGTTCGGGTTTTTCAAATACCAAACCAAACCATTGTGTCGAATTTTTAAATTTATAAATCAAACCAAACTAATAAACCTCGGATTTTTTCAGATTTTTTCGGTAAAGTTTGCATACAAACATATAATTAACTTGAGCTCCAACAAATATTGCAAATTAACAAGTCATAATGAAAATGATCATAATTTAAAAGTACTAAATCATGCTAAAATAAGTTTAATAAGTATTAGTTACATTACTAAATATTTAAGGAAAAATAAAATTAGATTATGTATTTTAATTGTCTAAACCAATGTAAAACTAAAGAACAAATATTCAATATTATTGTCATTCTTAGTGTTGAATTGATTTTCTTTTTGCATTAGTATTAATTTGATTTTGATTTAAGTTTTATTATAATTATCAACATCTATGAACTATAATCTTTATTGGATCATTCCGAATTCTAAGTTTTAAACTTGAATTAATATATTAAAAGATAAAAACTATGAAATAGTATAAGAAATATTTTAAAATTATATCAAAATAAATATTTTTATGTATAAAATAAAATTTTAAAATTATAATGTCGGGTTGGTTTGGTCTCGGGTTGGGCTTTTTTAGTTAAACCAAACCAACCCAAATATAGTCGGATTTTTTTTCCCAATACCAAATCACTAGTCGGGGTTTTTTTCAGGTTGACTTGGTTTGCGATTTGATTCGGTTTTCAGTTCGGTTATGTACACCCCTACTCACCAATTTACTAGAAATGCCACTGAATATTTTTTTCTTTTTCACCGATACAATCAAAATATTTGTAGAAATAATCTCTGAATATTTCTTAATAAAAAAAATAGTAATTTTTTAGTAAGGTAAGGCGACGGGTAGAGTAATTCAAAACTGTTTAAACGACTTTACATATATGCCTATCAGTCCTAGCTAAAAAGCTTATGTTATTTTATGTTTTCATCTATGTACTGAAGAATTAGGTTCTTCAACAAATAATCAAGAAGTAAATTCAGAATAATAATCAATATCATGATTTTACGTAGAAAACTCCTTGCTCCGATGAGTAAAAAAATACGACATGCCAATAGATTTTTCTCTCAAATTTTCACTAAATCTTGAGAAAAATTCATGGTTACAACTCAAATGGCCTAACTATTAACACCTTTCACTCTTTCTAATTGCAATTATCCCTTTCAAGATTCGACCTCAATATTGAAAGTTTTTACAACTCAAGAATTAAACGCCTAATATGAATACTTTATGAATGTAAAAGCAGAGGTGTATCCAAGAATTCGTCAAGATGGGTGCACGAATACGAAAAAATGTATTTTAAATATAAATTTGATAAATTTGACTTTTAGGTTCTTAATATAAACCATTAAATTTAAAATTATAGGTCAAAATATATAATACTATTAGTTTAAATTTTAATATACACATTTGATTTAATTATATAAAAATCTTATAGTGCAAAGTTTTTAAGAGCTTCCAATGTAAGGCACTTGAAAATTTTGAAAGATTAAAGGAAAAAACAAAAGAAAAATTAGTTGAAACGTCAAAAGTATAATCGATAACCACTTAGGGAGTGTTACTCAAAAGGACAAGATAGATATAAGACTTAAATTTTTATCCTTACTTAGAGAGGTGCACTCAATCATTATTGTATTATTATATGATACTTTAAACGTGGGTTCACACATCTATATTTAAATATTTTTTAAAAATATAACACTATTATATATGATCTAAAGAGGGGAGCATGGGTTCACGTGAACCCACGGCACCCCCTCTAAATACGCCCCAGTAAAAGGTTTACAATTTAAGAACAAAAAGAATCAAATTATATAGACAACTAATTAAGAATTATAGCAATAATATCTAGGTTTTTTTTTCACACTGAATAAATTCTCTCTTCTTTCGGAACGTCAATGTAATGCTTTATATATATATATATATATAACCTTAGCTCAAATATGAGCTCTAAGTTAAACTTAAAATAAAAACAATAAAAAAAAGGCTTTATAGTTGGATTTGAACCCTAGCCTCAAGGGTGGTATCTCTAGCTTGAACCAGTAGCACAAAAGCACTTCTATGCTTCTCATGGTGCACATTTAACTATA